AGTTATATAATAGTATAACAGTTTAAAATGATTTTTATAAAGACTTAGTAGACTTGGCAAGACTATGTGGTTTTTTCAAAACCATATTCATAGACTTAGGTTTTATCAAATCATCTAATTTTAATTTTAAAATACATGCTAGCCTTCAGAAATCGTTTTACCATATTCACTTTTAATTTCCTATCAAGTTAAGTTCATGGCCACAAAAACAAATCATAAATACCATCTTATAAATTTATCCAAAATAAAGCATGACTAAAGAATGTCTATTAATGCATTGACAAGATATTTCCTTTTTGGCAAATATGGAGACTTTATCAAGAGATCATCATCATATGCAACACATCATATTATAGACATTATTGGGAGGATGATCGTTAAGACCGAGTTGCTTACATATTTGAATGAGCCACATGCATCTCTCGTGTTTCATCCTTAAGGCTCAAAGCCCTTGATCAAATCACATCTCCATGTGTATTACTACCTTAAGTAGTTTATACTCTAGCACAATGAAGCACTAAAACACAGGGTATTAAAAAATTGACTCTTTCAAATTTGTTGGCACCTATCACTTAATGTCCGTACACTCCATATATATTTATAAAACAATTAGCCAAAATATAACTAAAACATATAAAATAAAAATATATTGAATCATCTTTCCCTATATGACCTTACTATAGAATGTGAGATAGATTTCACACCTCAAAACCATATAATGTGGTACTTGGGCTTTCTTGATTCAGTGACAAGCTTTTGTGATCTTGGAGAAGCACGCAACTGATAAAGAATATATTGGTCATTGGTTTCACATGTCATGAAGTGTCAATCTTTTTGGCACTTGAATTCTCTCTGTCTCACACCGTGAAGAAATAATCATTTTCATACCATGATTTCAAATATCACAATTTCGACTCTCCCACTGATCTTTAGCATTTCTATGTTACCACAAAGTTTCTCTATATATCCCTTCATTTCAAAGACACCAAGATACTTTTATAGGTATTATGTTTCTTCTTCTTTTTGCTATTCCCAAATTGAATATTCTTCATATAACGTATCTTATCTTGTCAACTTTGTATTACATCTCTCTGAAGTTGTATTATAATAAACCATACTTATGACACACTATAAAACCTTTTAAAATGAGCTTTAAAAATGTCTCTATAATTAGGAATCCAAAGATGTGTTTTAACATGCTACATCTTTTAATTTACTGCAGCACAGAACATGAGCATCCCACAATAGAAATATGATACCTCTCAACTTATAATGGGTTTTTCTCCGAATCCTTTTGAGTATTGAAATGGACTCAAAAAAATATAAAATAGTACTCAGTTCCATCCCTAAATCACACCATTTAGTGAGTCTACCTTTTAATGACTTTTACATCATAACACAATTTTTTCATCAGAAAATCAGGTTGAGCATCTTTCAATAAAAAATTGTTTCTCTCAAGCCCTATAGATTTCGTTCTTGAAATCTCTTATATTAAAAACTAGACTCAAAACCAAATCATAACATCATGGTATGAATCCCAAATAATACCTTTCTTTATAAAACATACACATCACAAAATAAATCATACTGCAGAATTCCATGATGAACACTATCTAAAAAAATTTAATTTTCTCTCTACCCTCATGGAGTTTTCCTTTGAAACAAATTTATTTAAAAATAGATACATAATGGTAGAACATATATTTCTACAAGCCTTATATCACTCTGTTAAATAAGCTTGATAAATATAGTTATTCATGTCTCAATGAAGAACATACCAAATTGCAGAAAATTCAGGATGACCTCTCTTCAATCCAAACTTTTTATTCCTCTCTTCTCAATAATTTTATTAGAAACTAGACTCAGAATGGAAGTCTAAAAACTTAGTGTGAGCCATAAAAAATTATTTTAAGAAGAGAAATAAAATCATGACTACCAAGTCATGGAAATAGTTTTCATTATAGAAAACAGCACTTGCGCACCCTTCAATAAATTGATCATATCTTTAAAACCATGAAGAATTTCTTGATTTTTTCTTAAAATTTGACTCAAATTTGTGAGTCACAATAAAATTTCAGCAAAAAATAAAATTATGTGATTGGTGGAAAAAATCACAGAACTCAATTGACAGTTCTTGAATTTTGCAGGGTCAGAACTGATACCCTTCATTGATGGTTTCCCAACTCTCAATTCCCTTAGGATCTCTCACTGAAATTTTGCAGGTAGATCCTAATCTCAAATACACACATTATCACTGAAATATGCAATAGAAAAATACATCAGTATCTTCTTCATATCACTGATCCAAAATAGTCGGGAATACCCATTTTGCAGAGTGTCTTTTCGGTGTTTGAATATTCCAATAATTATTTTATCGAGACGTATTACTTGACCACAAATGTCATTAGCTTTATTATATCTCATTCCCAAGCTTGATCTAGACTCAATAAAAAAAACAACTAATGATATCAAGTATCAATAGCTCTGATATCAATGAAAGAAAGACTAATACGATCTTGTTGGGAAATATATATTTTTTATTTTTCTTCTTTTCACCCCCTTTTTTTCCTTTTCTTTTCTTTAGGCAAAGATCACTTACAAGTAGTCTTATTACAATAATTCTTGCTTAAAAAAAATTAAAACTAACAAATCCAAGATCTTAAAAACCTTGATGCTATTAAACCAATTTTCTTTAAACAAAAAAATATCCACAATTCTTATCCTTGGGAATATAAAGACAATATAATTAAATATGACAAGAAACAAAAAAAGAGTGTTAGATATTACCTCAATTGAGCTTATTACACCCCACACCGAGTCCCCACCATCTGATGGTGAGGGATTAATGATCAACCTTCAATCTCAACCAGGAAAGCAAGTTGAGGCCAAGCCACACCAATAGAACATGAACTCTTTTGATAACAAACTCAAACCCTAGGTGAATTCCCTTAGCAGCCTAGTTTGAGAGAGATAGATACTCTCTTTGCTAAACTTTAAAACCCTTAGCCATAAATCCATAGGTTAGATATATGATAGAGAAGAACTCCATAACCTAAACCCTTAGGTTCTTTAACAATGTCGGAGAGATAGATCAAAGTTGAGAGAGTGCGGAGTGCCCTTTTGTGGGATATTCAAAGTGGGGAGTGCCCTTTTGTTAAGAAAGAGAGAGAAAACATTTTCTTAAGAGAGAGAAAATTTTCTTAAGAGAGAAATTTAAAGTGAGGAGTGCCCTTTTGTGGATATGAGAAAGAAATATGAAATTAAGTACAAGAGATAAGGTGTAGAGATTTTTGAGTAGTGACAAGCCTTTTTTATAACTTTTGAACAATATTAGAGTTTCGTAGGGATTTCCTTGGCTTGCCTGTTCTTGTGAGATTGAATATGAACCATTGATCTTGGGTGACTTGTGGGATGAGAGATTTGAGCCCTCTATTCTATAGATGGGCCATCAACATTATGGAATGTACATTAATCATTATTCCTATTTCCTAAACTATTTTCCCAGCAATAGAAATTAAATAAATTAAATCTAATCAAAATATTATGCATACTATAAAATAACACAAATCTACTCAATCTTTCCACAAAATCTTTCAAAGATATATCAAGTCAATATCTTCCAACCATATGGCCACATGTCATATCACCCCAAAAATAGAAAAGAGAATAAGGGTGAGATGTGCCACCAAAGGGAGGCACTCATGGGCCCCACCTTCTAGAAATATGGCGGGCCCATATGCACAATGGGCCCCCATGATATTTTTATATAGATAAAATTAATAAAAAAAATTAAAATATTATTTGAATATTTAAACCATTGTAAAATAAATATTTGTAATTTTATAAATCTAAAAATTATAAATAAAATATCTAGGCGTTCATAAAAATTAAATAATAATTCTAAAATAATTTCCATTATAAAACAAACACAGTTAAATTAATTTGATGGGAAAATGATCCATATAGTTTAGGAATTAAATCAACAATCATGGGGCACTCCACCTTCAAATGTGGACTACAGACCACACTTTCTTTATCAGACCGACCCAGTGTTTCCCACGCACTAGAGTCCAAGCAGGGGCTCATTAGCTGGTCACCAAAGTTTGATCGATGAGCCAAAGGGTCACAATCTCAGTCTATAGATTTCAGGTCCTCTCTTAGAGGCGAGTCAAGGTCACCTAGACCTGATGCGACCACAGCTCATATGGTGCATAGGGGTATCTCTCACACATGTATATGCTTCACCCTGAAAGGTGGCTTACTTGCTTTTTCGAACGATCTATCAATATGCATGTCGTGTAATGGCACATGGATGAGGCTTTGGCCCCCAGCTTTGTAGGCTATCATCACAGATAAGGATCACATAATCCCTCAGTTCACTCATTCGGGCATATGCTCCGACCTCGTTAAGGGAAGACATATTAAAACCCTTCTCGGTTTGTTCTCTATGCCCAGTTAACATGGGTTTTTCCCAACCGACTGGCTTAAATAGTCAAGCACAGTTTGGTATCAGCAAATATTGTTTGCTTAGTATGGTCCACGACGGACTACACTTGCACTAAGTTCATGTTGTACTCATAAGGCCTTTAAAGGCCACATAAACCCAACAAGGTATACCTCTAAATCTTGCTAAAAGATACAATTTATGTATAGATCAAGTGCTAAAAATAGTATAGATAAATCTATTTGCACCCCTCATCATGAAAAATTTGAAATGCAAAAAATGATATAGATTGAGCAAATATGCAAACACTTACAAATTTTAATCATAGGTAGGCTAGATTATGAGTTACAAGATACACTTAATTTAAGACTTGAAATCCATTATTTTCATATGCATATATCGTAAAGAAAAGGTAATCGATCATAAGATTTTCAAGAACAATTATCTATCTTATCTATACGACAATCTAATGATTGAACACAAGCAAACCATAATTAAACTTTTTCTTTTCATTAATAATCCCAAAAATTAGGCTTTCTTAAAGGATGAGGTTTTTATAAGGCTTAGATTTTATGGAAAACGAAATAAAACTTCTCCTCAAATCTTCATTTAGAAAGTACTTTTGGCGACGGAAAGATATACCATATTTTTAAAGCTTGAGATCCTAATTTTTTTTCACAACCACAATGTTCAGATCGATGTAGAGCTTGTTTTGCAATTTTTGATGAGTTATGAGACTGAGAGGACCCCCTCCTACGATTACTTCTTACAGGTACTCACTTTCTCACTCTACAATTTAATCTCAACTTTCTCTCTCATCATTTTTTTTCTATTTAATCTTCAACACCAGAAACTCATGATTAGAGTCTGTTGGTGTTATTTTTTTTTCTTTTTTTTGTTTTCTTTTTTTTGGGTCTTAAAGTCCGATGATTTTATGAGAAATCTCCCCAGAATAAATTTCAGTGAAAGAGAGCTACCCACTAGCCAACTACTGTCTTTTTCTGAATCTTTTTCTTTTAATAGTCCTACGACATTTTCATCTGAGAATTTCAGATTGATTTAGAACCTATCATTTTTGGAAAGTTTTCATTTTTGAAAGGTTGGTCTTTCTTCCCCATAATTTGAAATTTTGGCTTACTTTTGTTTTATTTGATAAACAGATGATTGGTTTTACTTCTGATTTGATAATTAGGATTTCAAAGGTTGGGTTTATTTAAAAACATTGGAATCCTAACATTCTTGTTTTTTAAATAGGATATTTTGAGCAAAATTTCTCATATGGAACAGTGGAGATTGGATCGAGTACGAGTGTCGAGCTTAGACATAAAAAATGCAAAGATTGCTGCTGCCCAAAGATATATATTCATTCTTCAAATTGGGGGAATTCTTTGGCACTGAAATTCAATAATGAGGGACTTTCATGGGAAAAACTACATCGAAAGAGCAAACAAGCATCGAAAAGAAGTGATATTTTTGAACCCCAAATGGTTAAAATTATGTGAAGAAAGCCTTCCCTTAAACCATTTAAGTTGGAAGGGCCACTTGAAATACACATCCATGGGAGTGGGGAGCCACAAGTGATTCTTCCAGTATGTTTTCTCATGTTCTTTCCTCCTTCAAGATTGCTTTTTATTTGTTGAAGTCCTCTGTTTGGAGTTTGAACTCTTAATTCGCCTTTATGAAGTTTATCTTGATGTTGGTTTGATATTGTTCCCAATGTTCTTTAAGTTTAAGCATAGTCTATTATATGTCTAGAGAGCCTTGAACATTGCATTTGAAATGATCTAGTGTTCATGAACAAAAAGAATGTAAAGTTCAGGAATTTACGAAGATATGCTATTCGGAAATGTTCAAGGCATGCTTTTCTTAATTAGAGTTCATGGACGGAGAGAATTTTATGCTTTGCTGAAGCATATCGGTTTTCTGGGAAATCTTTTGTATCTTTGTAAGTTGTAGATTGCTTTGTTACTTTGCTTTATAAAGCAATGTCGATAAACAAAGCATGGCAATAAATATTGTCATCCTTTCAACCTGGTGCTTTCAATAGAAACTGTTGAAGTTCTGCGTGGATGTTTCTAGGGCGCTTATGAATAGCACTGATATATGACTTCACTAAGCCTACTTCTCTAGCAATGTTACATTATTAAGTTCTGCAATTCTGAGGAAGTTTGCTGAGCAAGTTGGGTTAAGTTCGCTCACTTCTGAAGTTAACATTACAAACTTCTTATTTTTCAAGAACTAGAGACTGAAGTTAACATTACAAACTTCTTATTTTGCAAGAACTAGAGGCATTAACCTATAACAATGACCCATCTAACCATGAATATGGGACTATAACATGAGATAGTCACTTAGTAGTATCTCAAGGACAAGTTTGCTTGGAGAATTAGATGCGTACTAATTTACATCAATAAGAGGCAATTATTATATTGAGAAATTGAGGATTTGTGCCAAGAAATAGAAATATTTCATGTTCTTCAAAGTTCAAGAAAATGTTTGTTAAATTTTTCATATTGCCCCTATTTGACCCTTCCAAAACCAACATATCCAAGTCGAAATGTAGGAAAGTGTTGTGTTGAGGATATGAAAAATTGAGCTACATGAAGAAAGATTGTAAGGAGCAAAAGAAAACAAAGAAGCCCCTAAATATAGCCTTAATAAGAAGCCTAGTTCAAATAAGTGAAGAGCAAAAGTAGCGTAGATAAAACACCTCAATAGAATAGAAGAGAGCGTTCGGTGAGAATCAAGGATGCCTTGGTAAGAGACATGTTCATACATTGTTCTTTTATTTTTTGTAACGCATCTATGATCTATTTTCACTGTTCTTTTATTTTTTGTAGTCATCTATGATCTGTTTTCACTAAAGAGCAATTTGAAACTGCATTTTGAATTTCCCCTCTTGTTTAGACTATGTTTAGAGATTATCTGGACCTAAAATAGGTCATTTGGCTGAACTGGAATAAACTAGGCCTGATCAGGCCTAATCATTGCTCAAGTCAATGTTAGATTTGGTGATTTTTTTGGGTCATGTCAATGGAAATCGTTCTTCACTGGTTCCAACTGGTTAAACAAATGTCATAGCACTGAATGCACCAAATGGCTTCTGATTGAAAGTTACTTTTCAATGAAAAGGGAACTGGGTAGTGGTTTGCTGATAGTGAATGGGTTGACAGAGTAAATTATTTTAAAATCTATATATGAACAGTGGGTCTTTTGTAGAACTCATACGCCATATATCAATATTGGCGCAGTCTTATTAGCCATGTGTTCTTACTCCCTAGAGGCACAGGTCTGATGTGTGGTTGCTTTGGAATCAGGGTCCTTCAGATTCATGAACGATAAGGTCCTAGGTTTCCAAACTTTTCCCGTAATCTTTCTTCTTGGAGGGATTCTATGGAGGAAAACTGCTGCATAGTTCCTCAAAGTTGTATAAATTAATGGTGTTTTAATTATATAATAGAAGTGATAATGGGTTTTGTGTTTGATGTCACATCGATTTCTCCAGAGCTAAAAAAGCATAAGATACCAAATATTGTTGACCTATCAGAGTATTAAAGCATCACCAGTCTATTAAATACACTGTCCAATAGTCTTTTGAATCATTGACTTAGTAGTATAGTTGTTACCATGGAGGTGGACTTGGGAGAAAGCTTATTATGAACTTGTGATTACTGCACATTCCACAGGTTCGATAGGATGGGAGAGGGACACATTTGATAAAAAGTATCAAAGATAGTGTTCTGCTATCAAGGACCATCATAACAAGCATTTTCTTCATGATTTATACTTGTGCATGCTTCTTGGACAATTTTCTGATGCGCCGGGAATGTGAAAGGCATAGCTAGATGTCCAACAATTTTATAGATAGAGACCTTGGAATGTCGAAATTATTATTTCTGATTTACTGGGAAAAGCCTTGAATATTTTAAAAAGGTGAAAAATCACAGAAAGGAATGAAAGGCATGTGCTGGGAATGTGAAAGGCATAGCTAGATGTCCAACCATTTTATAGATAGAGACCTTGGAATGTCGAAAGTATTATTTCTGATTGACTGGGAAAACCTTGAATATTTTAAAAAGGGAAAAATCACAGAAAGGAGTGAAAGGCATGAAATAAGAAAACAGTAAAGAATGAAAGCCATGAAACAAAACTAAGGTGGGGGAGGTAAGGATAAAACCATAGAAAGGAATGAAAAGCATGAAATAAGAACACAGTAAAGAATGAAAGTAACGAAACAAAACCATGGTGGGGGAGGTAAAGTATAAAGATTGTGTTTCATGTCCGACTTGAATGCCATAGTATCTTCAGTGTTTCATACCCAACTTGAATGCCATAGTATCTTCAGGGTAGTAGTAAGGCATAAAGATTGTGTTTCATGCCCAACTTGAATGCCATTGTATCTTCAGGGTATCCATCTTCTAGCATGACACACTGTATTTATAAATATTGCTCACTAAAAACTTGTGGGAAGTTCAATAGTTTTATCTTCTAGTTTCTCCACCCACCCCCCCGCAACCAAAAATCTTTTAGCTGATTGATCCCAATCTGCTTGCTTTTGTCCTTGATTCTCTCTCTCTCTCTCTCTCTCTCTCTCTCTCTCTCTCTCTCTCTCTATTGCTGTGTAAGGTCCTGGAATAAACTAATGTATCTACCCTTATACTGGATTTATATGTGATACTGTTAGTGCTATATTTGTGCAGCTAAATACTATTATAGCTCCAAAATGAGTTCTTGTTGGTGAAGGAATTACGATAAAAGTAAAAGGTCCCCAACAAATCACTCTGATTCACCCTTCCATTTCTGATTCCTTCATAAATAGGACCTCAATCAATGTTTGCAAGGCTACTCCTTTGTCTGTTATGTATTATTCATGCATGCCACGGCTCCTGGTGCGAATCTCAGAGCTCATTTCTTTAATTGCATATGGGATCCGCAATGCCCAAGCACACATGAAGATGGCATTTCCTTACAAAGATACTCTCACATTGATGCTGGAAAACAATATACTTCATTGGTCAAAGAGCACTACGCAACAACCAATTGTCTCTCTTGATCCAGGGTTCCTTCCTCCTAATTCAAAGTTAGATCAACTAAGGGAATTGCTAAGAGATTATTGGGTGAATATATTTACAAAATGGGGACGCTAAGAATATCTAGAATGAGAATCATTGCTTCTACATTGATGAAGTTTCATCTGGAATTGGAGAGGGATATGAGAGAAGAGCTTTCGGACGTGGATGCTTCATTGGCATGGAGAACCAGGCCAACACTAGAGCGAGCTTGGTTTGAGATAGTGGCAAGAGCGGAAGGTGGGGAGCAATTGAAACCCTTGATTTTGAAGAAGTTGAGGCCATTTGTAAGAGCTGATTCCTGCGTATGGAGTAACCTCTGGGGAACACCTCCTTGGCAAGGTTCCCATCCTGCCATGTTCCTTCTGAGGCCCTGACATTGGATGTCGAGTGGTAGGATGATTTATTTGTTTTAGAGGGGAAGGTGATGAGGACTACAGCAATCCATTGGCATCATAATTGTCTGATGCAAACATGGATGGTGATGCATACAGTGCGACCCACTATTTGGTTCTTGCAGGCCCCGCATCTTGTCCACTACAATTTCCAGTCTGTTGGACCATACTTTCTCTTTTGTTATTTGTCTATTTATCATTGCACAAGATGAAGGGTGTGTTGTAGCTGGAAAACCAGGAATTCTGGAATCTAGAAATATGTATAAAATATTGTGAAGTATTTCAGTTTTGAGTGCATATCTGATTATTTCAATTTATTTGAGATTTATATTTGAATAAGTATAAACTACTGTGCTTGATAACTTGTCCATAATTTTTAGCGGATTTTGATAAATTTGAGGTTTCCAAACATGGGCTATTTCAGTTTTGAGAGCATGTTGAATATTTCAATTTATTTAAGCTTAAGATATGTTGCTCCAGCAGGAGCATACTATCCATTTGCTCCCTGGGTCACATCTCAAGTTAGGAAAATTTCTTGGGCCCAAATTTTGGTAATATAACTTCATGAGCACAATGATCACCTTCAAGAAGGAAAATTTGCAAATTGGAAATCGCATGTTCTATGTGCTTAAAAAAAATAACATCCCGAGAATCAACAAGTGACGTCCAATTTTCGTGTCATAGGACTCAAAATCCACATTTTTTGTTTGAAAATAATCCTTGGACTCAAAAACTTAAAAAAAAAATTCTTGCAGAGTATCTCTTTTACCTGAGGGGTTTCCTGTGGGAGCATGACATTCGTGCTCTTTGTTGAACTTTTGAGAGGATGTCATAGTATTCCAGCAATTGTATTACATATTCGATTAAGCTAAAATTCCTAAATATTAAAGGCATTTGGGTCATTTTAGATTTTTGTTAAAAAAAATTTTAAAATTGTTATTCAATTGAGCTAAAATTCCTAAATATTAGAGGCATTTTGGTCATTATAATTTTTACTAATTTTTTTCAATAATTAAGGGAAAAAAGGTTAAATAAGGCAACCTTGATCTGTATGGTTGTGGAAAAAAAAAAATTTCTAGCTTTAAAAATAGTACATATTGTAACACATTATAATAAGGAAAAACATATAATAAGACTATCTATCTTTGGTGCAAGGTGGTCACAATTAATCTTAACCATTGAATGTGATATTAGATAGCTGCATTTATTCCATTGACCTAGCTCAAACTTCTAAAGAAATTTTTTCAAAATTGTAGGATACATCCAACCAATCAAATTTCACATCGGATAGTTGTAAGTAATTGTGATCACCATGTATTAAAAGTAAATGGTCTCATTGTATATAATTCCTTATAATAAATCAAAAAGATAAAATTACTCTATGGATGTGAAAAAAAAAAAAATAGTGTAACACTATTTTTTAGATTTCAAGCTCTAAAAATCGTACATATTTTAACACATTATTCTTTTCTTTTTGAACTCTAAAAATAATACATATTGTAACACATTATTCTTTTTTTTTTTAACTTTAAAAATAATACATATTGTAACACAAAATTATTTTTGAAACTATGGACCATGAATTAAGAGTAAAAGAGATGGCATTACACAAAAGCGCACACTCGGCTAGAGGCCAAAAACATATTGTAACGCATTATTCTTTTTTAAACCGTTGACAATGAATTAAAGAGTAAAAGAGATTGCATTATACAAGAGCGCACACTCGGTCAGAGGCCAAAAACAGATGATGTGCAAGTCCAGAAAAAGGAAAGTATATAATCAAATTCACAACATTGGTTGGGATAACATGAAAGAAAAAGAGAACTAGAAGCAAAGAAAAAGAGAACTAGAAGTAGCGGTTATGGCAATGGCAACGGCAACGAGGCTCCTGGTTTAAATAGATTGTCGGTGACTTGGTTGGCCTCCCTCCAAAAGATAACAACCGACTTCATGGGACAATTGTAACTAACGGTCCAAATGTTTTTTTAATATAATTATTATTTTTAATTTTTAAAATTTATTTATTTTTTCATATTCATGATCTCCATGTTATCATATATTATATTTAAAAAATATATTTATTGTCAAACCCACATTTCTACAATATGTGGGGGCCGCATGCTATCCGCGTCCTTCAAGATGAGCCTTTACTTTCTTTTATAAAGGCTAGGCCTCATAGAAACTTGGTAACTAAGATCTATCCTTTTCATTCCCATCTGTGATATCTATATTTTGACTTTTCTCTTGTGTATAAATCCACATTGAGCACCATAATAACAAAGCTTATGAATAAGTAAATGATTGTAAATCATATAAATCCTAAATCTACATTGAGCACCATAGTAACAAAGCTTGTGAATCAGATAAATGCCTCGTGTATAAATCCACATTGAACACCATAGTAAGAAAGCTTGTGAATCAGATAAATCCTAAATAAATACATCAGATCAATCCTAAATCCACATTGAGCACCATAGTAACAAGCTTGTGAATCAGATAAATGCTAAATAAAATACAGACTTGCATCATCACCAGTCCATGAGAGAGAGAGAGAGAGGGAGAGGGAGAGAGATAAGGAAATGAAAAAAAAGCTAACATCACCTGGTTCTTAAGCACGTACAATCATAAAGTTTGCTAATATTTAGCGTATGGGTCTTAGACAGCCCAATTAATAAAAGAAAACAAGCACCACTTCCCCATGCACATATTCATAAGCTCACTAGGTTTGAAAGCCCAAATCTGGACTCCTATTTGTAGGTCTAATGTCTCAACCACGCGGCATCAATAATAGAACATGAACCTCTTTACCCTGTCTTTCACAGATGGCATGACTCGAATGGGAACACTTCCCCAGCCTCCCAGGCCACCCTCTGATCTCTCCACATGATCACGGCAGTGGCGACCACGAAATGCAGCAAGATCAGCATAATATGCAGCTGGAACTGCAAAATCCATTGAAAGAAAGGATAACACCTTATTCAGCAACGTTTAACAGTAACTAAGAAATAGGATATTAATTGTACAAGCCATGCTAGCTAGAATTTAATTTAAAACTGCAAAACCCATAACGGATTTAATTTAGAACTATAAAACCCATTAAGAGAGAGGACAACTCCTCATTCAATAAACGCTAAGAATAACTAGAAATGGAAAGATGATTATACAAGCACCGATTTAAAAGATCAATTTTTTACCTATTGAGACAGAACCGTTGCAGCGAACATACCTACAAGACATTGCTCAAAATCAGTGTAATGCATTTATTAACAATACTAAATAAAGAATTTGGACGAAAAAAAAGAAAAGAAAAAAGAAACATGATATTAAGAAAATGAATCCCAACTTCATTCAATGTTGCATATTCTATGTGAGATGGGTTAACTTATGTGTAGCACATATTATATATCAAACGCTGGATATGAACCGCTGTGAGCTTGCTATCATCGTAAAGGACATGATAATGAGCAGGATGACTTGTTCCCTGTGGACAGAGATGAGAGAGAGAGAGAGATCCCATTACAGACATAGATTAAAGAGCGAGAGTAACACACACTGTTACAAAGACATGACGTGAAAATCCATGTCTGACTTCAATTAGAAAAATCAGATTCACCTACCTAAGTCCATACTATGCTTATATGTCTAAATCTATTGTTATATGTTTATATTTATTTTCACCTACCTATATTTGATTTCTTCAAAACAAGTCCATACTGATCTTACATGTCTAAATCTATTGTTATATGCCTATATTTATTTTCATGCAATAATAATTTGCGAGGTTTTACTAAGAAGATCACCTTAATACAACAGAAGATCACCTTAATACAATAAAGTCTATACTTATTTTCATGCGATAATAATTTCTTAGTTTTTAGTAAGAAGATCACCTTAATACAATATCACCTTAATGCAATAAAACATGTGGGTCCAAATCAAAGACAGGCTTGTCCAAATCATAAACATGTGTGCTCATTTGTGCAGACACGTGTCCTGCAAAATGGCCATGTCTCTTACCAAACGGACATCCAAATCATCCATTTGTGTGGGCAGTTTCCTACAAAATGGACATGCCTGTTATAACTGAATGTGTGTCTACATGCATTTTATTTCTCTCATCTAACTCATTTATTTACATGGCAACAATGTCTACAACTTGAAAGAGTTAAAATTCATGAATTGATGTGTAGGAGGCGTGCAGGATTCTTCTAAGTTTGTTCTGGAATTATACAAGCTTATAAATGAATGCGTGTCTACATGCATCTTATTTCTGTCATCTGACTCATTCATCTACATAGCAACAGTGTCTACAACTTCAAAGAGTTAAACTTCATGAATTGGTGTGTAGGTTTCTCCTAAGTTTGTTTTGGAAATATACAAGCACACACAGAGAGAGAGAGAGAGAGAGAGTTTAATATTGTATATAATCTAAGGTAAGTTAAACAACCTTGAGACCACCATGGCTACAAAGGTAAAAATCATTTTCAATAGGATGGCAGATATCTCTATCAACGACTGTGCCTAGAAAAAGAAGCACAAAAATTATTCAGGTTCCCAATAAACCATTTACAAGTATTCAAATGTTTATGGAGGTCTTACTCACCAGGTAATAGATTTCCTTTCTTATCAGAAGTTTTGTCATCCCCATAAGTCTCACGGAAGGACTTAGTGTGATGTCGCTTCTGCACCACTACAAATGTAATACGCGGCTCATAGTTTGCTCCAAGGGACTTGCAAGCTTGAGACATGATGGATAGCAATAAGAGCCATAGCAATTTTCTTTGAATATCATTAAGAGAGATATAATGATTAGCCGTCCACAGCACACATGATCTAGTGATGGGAAATGTAACTATAAAGAAGAAGAATGGCATTGAGACACAGATATGGAAGAAACATGTAATAATCCACTAGAGTATGGCATATGGTACTCCAGAGGCATCTACCATCCATTACTGATGATGGATGTTAGGCATTGAGTATACAAAGTGGATAACAATTGGGCCTCGCAATGGTCAATCTCATTCTCTGTTGTCAGGAACAGATGTTGGATGCTCCTATGAGTGCCCATACGTATCTCATTGGATTATGTCATACTTTTTGAAATAAAGAAAGAGGAAAAAGGTTGTGAAAGCTCAAAACTGACTTTTCTGATAGCAATAAGTTCATCTCTGACAACCTGAGAAAACTGTCCCTCGCTAACACCATCCCTCAGAGAAAATTAAACAAATCATGTAAATCTGACAAAATCATCACCTTAACTAGAGAAGAATGGTTAATTTTTGCCAGTTTAGTGTCTCCTCTTGCTCATGCCATCCTGAGAAAATTAGTTTCTAAACGATAAGAAGCTGAAATTCCGTTTAACTTTTAACCAAAAAAACTTTTATTTTTCTTTTTTATTAATCTTTGTATTCTCTACAATTCACTTAAATTCCTTCCATCAGGTAAAAACATATTACCAAATCAAGTTTCATTTGTCTTTTTATTCTTGAAGATAAAATCTTTGTATTCTCAACAATTCACTTAATTTTTTTTCTCTTCCATAAGAAGGCAAGAACATATCCTTTCAGACTATATTATGAGCCTACACGTTCATAATATCTATAACTCTAAATTGCGTACCTTAGCATACCTGAAAAATAAGATATGGGCAAGCTCTCTATTTGTCGCAGCTTTCAATGACAATAGATGTTCCCAGTTAAAAAATACGATTGAGTGAGATCTAAAGAAAGAGAGAGAGCTGCCACGCTTTGATCAAGAAACACACTCAACATAGCATTGCCTTATCATGCCGCCAGCCTGGGAACCATGCTGAGGATCATGTGTCTCTGTGTACAAGGCTTCGATAATTTCCTCTGTGTCCTTGACCACTAATGATTGCTGCGTACTGCATGGCCCGAGGCCAGTCTCGAGAAGCAACCACCTATAAAAATTAAAAATTTGAACCAACAATCAGATAAACAACCACCTAAAAATTAAAAATTTGAACCAACAGTTAGATAAATATTTAATAAGTAGAATAAGTGAATAATGCCATAGAAGCGTGCTAATTTTTTAACATGAAAAAATTTAATACAAACTTAAAGTAAATCATAATCCAATTTAATAGAAAGTTAAACTAAATCATAATCCATAGGAATATGAGTATGCTATTGGAGATCAACTATAAAATCCTCCTCTCAATGGTGGATGTCCATTAGGAACAGTCTTTCAAAACTCCATTGAATTACAATATACTTTCACATACAAAGAGAGAAACATCAATGACATGCATTTGAAGCATTGAGTCTTACTGCAGCAATGGACGGAGAAGCGTCATCTCCTGGACGGGGATGAGTAACATTAGCTCCAAAAACAATAAAGGGTACATTACCGAACTGACGTATGTTCTGAGGTATAGGATATGCAAGAGCTGTATTTCTTCCACCCACCTTTCAAAGGGGACCAATGTCTACAATCAGTATCTATCCATGTTAAGCACATATCTGTTCAGATTACCATGCGAACCTAGGCTTCATTTTCATATGACATTATGCCAATGTCATTGTTACAACAGATCATTTAATCAATTAGTTCTTATGACATTATGCCCATGTCATTGTCACTCCTTTAAAACATATCATTTAGTCAATTAATTCTTTTCTTTTCTTTCAGATACAGACTACTTTATCAAGAACACAGTAGTACAGCTTTGCCTTTTAGAATAGTGCAAGCATGGTGGCGAGAGGACATTCGCTTTCCAAACCAGAAAGTTATGTCTAACAATATTCAGTTATCTCTCTCATAGCTTCCAATTTGTGAGGGTCAAAGCTTCCAATGGGCATTTGAAGGTTTACCCGTGCTTGTTGAACTTTCATAGGTTTGATACACAGTTTAAACTTTAGGCTTCAAAAAAAAAGAAAAAAAAAAAATGTCATAGCTTCCAATGGGTGTATGAAGGTTTACCCTTGCTTGTTAAACTCTCATAGGTATGATACACAGTTTAAACTTTAAACTTAAATAAAAAAAAACAAAAAACAAAAAAAGTCAGTAGATTTAAGGGCATTAATAACTAAAACTCACATAGTTCTATAATATAGAACGCCGGGATAGGCTTTTATCTTCCAATGAAGGGGATGTTTTCGTAGATTTATTTACTAAAGCTGGCTCATTTATTTTGTTTTATTTACCAATGATTTATCTTCCAATAAAGGGGATATTACTAGATATATTTATCCCACATCGTGAGTGTCAGTAGTTTTAAATGGGGGCCGGCCTCATTAAAGTGGATCTGGGGGTTGGGCATCCCAAACATACGTGGTTGCCAATTGGAAAGAGAGGGGTGAGCCATTTAGCCATCCCTTTTTGAATAAAAAAAATCCAATAAACAGAATTTGTAAGAAATAAAAACAAAAACAATACCTCTAAGAAATAAAAAATTGGGAACCATGTTGTCTAGCTCGAATCTTGACAGAACATGCTGGTTCTCGCTAAATGGTGGGAACCGGATCTGTCCCACCGATTTTTTATCCAGATCGGCATTCTTTATTCAAGATATTTTAAATTCGATTTTCAAGGGGACACTTATAGCACATCTAAACAGAAGGGTAGCTTAAGAGATGGCTAAAACAATATAGTATATCGATTTCCAAAAGAGGAACACATGGATCATGCAAAGTAATTAATATTGTGAATTATTACTCTGCACAGTGAAAATGACCTTTGCTAAAATGTGAATATTGTGAATTATTACTCTGCACAGTGAAGATGGCCTTTGCTAAAATATCACAAAGCAATCAGTAGGGTTCTTGCATGCTTATGTAATCTAAGGTTTACTTAGAAAACAACTATCTCACCTTTACATAGAAAAAGTTTACCAATCTCACCTATATCACCTTTACATAGAAAAAGTTAACCATTCTCACCTTTACGTTGACTTTAAGTGCCAAATTTCCTAAGAGTTATGGTTTGGGTTCCATGATAGTTTTTCTTAGACAGCATTGGGATACCCATCCATATTTAGTTTCACACTTGCACTTCAAATCCCCTGTTTTAAGAAAGAGAATACTTACAGTCTCAGAATCAAATCTGTTCTATGCATAATATGTTACCGATTTTCAAAAAAGACAACAATTAACTAAAAATATAAATGGACATTGTTTCAATTTTTAAAAATTTGGCCTGAATAAAATTTTATCTAGGTCATTTGAAAAAATTTGGCCTAAACCAAATTTTATCTAGGTCATTTGATGCAACATATAATATCTAACAATCGTTTATCAGTGCTAAATGCTTGCATGGATTGCCCAATTGATTATCAGTTTATATACGACATAAATCACTGTGAATAATGTTACGAACACCAAAGAAAATCGAGCCAATGATGAAACGATGAAACAAGGAACAGATTCAATGAGAACCATGCCTTTCTTGGTACCAATTCAAAAGTTGCTCTAGAAAGATGCCAGAAAGAGGTTCTTTAAAAAGAAGACACTTACAACATCAAAAAGCAAATCCAATCCTTCCTCTGCATTCATTTTGTGCCAATTTCAAAGAAATCCAAAAAATGACCCTCAATATAAAACAAACAAGTGTTTCGTTCATATTGTCAGAATTAGAGTGGGGGATTATGTAAAGCTATAAGAACCCCATGATTGGGAGTGTCATCCATACAATGCAGATGTTTGGATTGAGATCACCAAATATCAAGGATATTGATCCCAACATTTAGGGAATTCCCGACCTTTTGAGATCTCAATCCCAATCTTTTAAACTAAGAATTTTCAATTTATTTATAGCTAACAAGCAATACAATTATTAAAACCTGGTTATAAATAAAGAAACTCATCATCTTGGTCATTACCTTGGTCTTAAAAGTTGGGATCGTGATTCCTAAAAATGGGGATCAAGATCCCTAACAGCAGGGATATTAACATTTCAAAATTTATCAAGATTCCTTGTAGATCCCTTTCCTGGAGAGCCGGATCAAAATTCTGGAGTGGGATTTCCAGAAAAAATGGGAGAGTCCAACAATTATGGTTTCGATCTTGAAACTTCATAAATATATAAAATTGATTGATCAATACTACATGGCCACATATATTGCAGTGAATAATGAAAAATACACTAAACATCAAGCTGATGACAAGAACATTTTTTAGACAAGAGGATACGAAAACCAATTCAACAAGAACGACACACTTTTTAGTACAGGGATAGAATGCTTGGAAAGATGCCTAGAATCGGGTTCAATAAAAGATTAACAAGCCATTACAGACTTAAGCCAGCTGGTGTGCTCTCATGTTAACCATGATTTTGAAAATAAGTTAGTCCAACCTACAACGGCCTCAACTTTCAAGTTTCAAAAGAACCCATGGGCTTTTTTGCTTTGGGGAAGTTCCTGTTTTTGTTGCAAGAGTTCATATTTTTAAATTTGTTGGCCTAGTCGTTTTACTTGAAGGCCATCAGTTAAAAAGTCCCTTTGTACTTGGCTTGAGTGAGACAAGGACAAATATCTTGGCTGAACCAGCATTAAAACTCCTCTATTTGGCATCCTAACTACAACAGTGAAAGATCAGTCTATGTAAGACAAGTATAAGTTTGGATTCAAGTATGAAAAACAATGCATAGCAATATACAATACTGATTTATATAACTTGATCTTCCTTGTGGCAAGAAACAAGTACACATACCATATAAAGGCCCATTGTTGTCAGGTAGAATAACAAATAAAAGGTCCAATGTCTTTCCAGAGGTAGTCAATTCTGTCTGAATACCATTTAGTACTTGGTCCAACCTATCTGATTGAGCCTCACGAATCCTCAATGTGGGATTCAAATTGCATGCCTACAAAACACTCATGCTATAAATTAGGAAAACAAGATATTTCTCATCCACAAGAACTACCTTAAAGGAGATACTTATGACTTACCATCCCCAATGTTGTACAAACTCCAAAAAGTTATTGATAAAAAGGTCATTGCAGCTACTGCAGAGATGTCACTTGATGCAAAATTCACATAAGTCCAATTGTTCAAACGGCCCCCATTCAGAAATCTCTGTTTCAAAAGAAATGGGACAATTTGTAAATTAATATAGGGAAGACAAATAAATGGAAAAGTAAAACACCACAAATATCTAAAACTAGACTTGACAGGGTAGCTGAAAATGCACAAAGTCGTGCATAAGCAGACCTAACACAAACACACAAATTATAAAATTAAGACATGTTTATAAATAATCAAATTTAGTGCATAAGCAGACCCAACATAAACACACAAGTTACAGATTTAAGACATGTTTATAAATAATCATTCGAAAGTACCATGCATAAATGGAAAAGTAAAATACCACAAATATCTAAAACCAGAGTTGTGAGGGTTATCTAAAACCAGAGTTGAGTTTTGAGGGTGGCTGAAAATGAGAGATTAGTATAAGCAACCCAAAACAAACACACAAATTACAGAATTAAGACATGCTTATAAATAATAATTTGAAAGTACCATGCATAAATTTTCATGTTTTTGTGTTTGCGTCAGTGACCAAGTGAATATGGTGTTCACTAAGACAACAAAACCAACAACAATGATAAGACTAGTCATGGATGAGCACTAGAAAATCACACAATCAGTATAATGCTTCTATAGGCAAGGTACAACCGAGTGAAAGAATCATTCACAACAACCTTGCGAGTACCTTATCTCTCATATTCTAATATCCCAATTCAGGGGTATAAGATATTTCTCTTCCCTTGTCATTACTATACTTAAGCTGCATTCAATTAGACATAACAACCATGTCAAGAAAACTTTAGAAACAAATCAAAACTTTGACACTAACAATATATTAATGATGTACCTTTGAACAAGCTAATGACGTACCTTTGGACAAGCTAAAAGTCTAGCGTTAACAGGGGCTAATGTTTCGCTGACTTCTATTCCAAATTCATTCACATGAGGAGTCGTATTGTACTTATTTTCCACAACAGCCTGCAGGTGAAATAGTTTAAATCTAATATTCGTAATGCTTCCACAAGAGCACCTCAGATATGCCTAGCTGACTCTAAAAGTTAATGAGGTCTACCTTCAGGATGTCCCTTTCCCTATTACGAGGGTCTTGACAGGTGAAAGTCAGCATCTCTGTGGTTTAGAGACTTCAAATATCGCTGACCCTTCACAATTTTGCAGACCTGGGAATAACCTAATATTTTGTAAATAAAGTAGTTTGATGAATTTATATGATGGTTATTGAAGAAATAGTACCTAGAAAAAAATCATAAAATGGATCATAGGAGAGAACCTCCATTGGAATGTAACTCGGCCTCTCAAGGCTTCCAACTTGGAGACAAGGCAAGAGTGGATACACCAATTTCATATTATAAACTTCATGAAAGTAACCGTACACAGCAATCCTCTTTGATGTTGCATTTCTCTCCATAGTAAAACTGCAACAATGCATCACAAGATTTGAAGGCGAGTCAATAACAATTGTTATATGTGATTAAAGTTAAAAAAAAAGAAGATCAATTCTTAGTGTTAAATTCTTCTGATAGATGACTACTAAGCAAGCTAGTTCTGTCACTTGATATGACAATTAGCAACTTCAGCAAAATATAATTTATTCCCACATGTGAGGACCTTACCCAACATGCTATACCGAACTTGTATCATGAGAAGTATGATAAAATCACAGCATGATGGAGGGTACCGGACATGTATAATGAGAAATACGATAAAATCACAGCATGATGGAGGGCGATAAAATCATGCATGACAGAGGGAGATTTCAACTATGGCTAGCTTGTCACGATGGAGGGCGATAAAATCATGCATGACGGAGGAAGATTTCAACTATGGCTAGCCTACCAAATCTAAAATGGACAGGCAAGTAGCAGTTGCTCTTCATGTTTAGGGACAATTGTTTTTAGGAAGCATGTTGATTCCCCATATTCCTTAAACTTTTGCATCCTGCATCTTGTAATCTGCCTCAAATCCACACTTCAAGTGCAATGTGCTCATAAGTTAATTAAGCAAAAGTTTGTGGTTCCCCAATGGGGTGTGGACAACGCGCAGGGATTGGCTTATGAAACAAGGACCAATGTCATGCTTATTAGAAAGGTAGAACGGGATCACATAAGGGGATATTGTCACGGCTAACTGGCTTAGTTGTTCAATGTATGAAGCATACATACTTGAATGTTTCCTCTCTTTCGTTTTCGCATGTCATGTATCTGCAGTTGTACATGTGAAAGAAGTCGAATTTTTCATATACAAATTTTGGTTTGAGATGGATTTGGTGGAGTCTCCTCCATAGAGTTGATTCTCGTCGTTCATCAGAATGAACCGAGGGGCAGAAAAACCAAATGGCAAAAAATTTCATGCAAGAGGGATTTGCTACTAATTGGATTTCATGCCATGATAACTTTTTGAAGGAATTCTCTTTACTCCTCTGAACCTTGTAATATTTTTTCCTTAAATTTTTAGTTACGAAAATAAATGTTCAGAAAAGAGTACCAGATTACTGACTCTCAACAAAGGAAAATGATGCACTGATCAATTAAAAAGATCATGAAACACTATTCATAAAAATTTTATGACTAGAGAGTTAATTGCATTGTTTCCCTTGAAGATTGAGAGGACAAACCTACTATGCGATACTTCCTCCGCATATTTTCCCGATGCGTGACCTCAATTCTGAGGCCCTTTAAAGCTGTCTTCACCTATCATAAAAGCAAAATGGAAATCACCAGAAGACTCTGAAAAATTCTAATTTCTTGAGAGTAAGGATTAAAATACCAATATGGATTTCACCATCAACAAAAAACAATTAAGGAAAGTATTTATTTTAAAATAACTAGAATATGTCAAAAGACATGATCAATGACAATTGAACTACAAAGATACACAATCGACCAAAGGAGTCTTCTAATCAAGTTCGAAAACTCAACGTTTCAAATCAAATTAAACATGTCCTAAAACTCAACAATACAATTCAAATGTCCTAAAGCTCAGTAATGCAATTCAAACAATATGGAGACTCAGTTCATTCCCCATCATCTTGGATGCAGTTTGCAAATGTAACACAGCATGAGGTATATAATAAGTTCTTCTTGATGATACTCTGATATCACTTTAAGGAGTTTAAAAATCTTGGCAATAGAGAAGGATATATTTACAAATGTGATTACATCTATATCCTAAAGAAAATACCTTCACAAGATCTGCATCAACCAAAGGCCTCCTCAAATCCTTGCGTAAAATATCCGCAACATGAGTTATCACTTCTTGTTGTTGTGACTGACATGTCTACACCAATTGGGTAAATGGTTTATCAAAAAATATAGCATTGAGCAAGAACTAAAGGAAGAAATGGATTTGTCTGAAAATGAGACCCATGGCATCTTTAGCCACATGTTAACGTCAAGATACCAACCAATATTTAATGCTAAACCAGATTGTGTTGGTTTGGTGCTCTGGAAGAAACCCTTCACAGCTTCCAATCCCTCTGTTAACAATTTTCAACCAAATGTCCCAGAGAGAAACGAACGGCCGACAGAAGAAAACCTAATTCAATAAAGTCCACAACTCAATTTGACAGAAAACAGTTATGCCTTATGTCCAAAGCTGACGAAACAATCAAACAAATCCGAAGAGAAGAAGAAACAAGCTCACAACCTCCTTGAAGGTGACTCACACAGCACAACATCGAGCGCTTGTAACACATCTTGTGGAAGCTCTGTTTGGTCACCACTCAGGAACTGCTCCAGGCGATACATACTTAACTGCGATGCGAATTTAATCACCACTTTGTATTGTTTCTCTCGTCTGCAAAGTAAAAAATATACTTTAAAGCCTTGAATAAAAAATATGCATTGTAAAAAGTATTAAAGACAAATGCAAGAAGTATTAAAGACAAAACAGAGAAGTTAATAACCAAAAAATAAAAAATAAAACAGGAGTGTTGCAGTCTTTAATATGGCATTCCCAGTAACATACCTACAAATCTGTGATACTTGTGCATGCCCCGCATACTGGTATAGACATAACATGACATGATACTTCTAGGATATTTTTAAATGTAAATAACATACCTATGCAAAACATAGAATGGATAAAATACAAATTATGCATTACAATATGGCTACCACATGTATCGATGTGCCAAATACATATATTTATGCTCTGTATGAGCTAGAATATGTATGAATGATTGAGTTGAATCTAATAGTTGAATTTATGTCATGGATTTCAGGAAATACCGAATTGTACAGTGGCTCCCTGTATCCATCTCCATGAATTCCGTGTGTCAGTACATGTAAAAATCCCATAAAATAAAGTTATGGGCATTTTTGGTTATAAATGTAGTATGGAGTTGTTCATAAAAAGGAAGATGTCACATTTTATGTAATCATTAGTTTTTTTCATGTACACTCTTAGAAACATTTTGATTGGCACGACATCCCTCTCTCTCTCTC